TGTTGCAGATTTCAAGTGGGTAACAACCGAGGCTCATGGCTGTAACGATGGAGCTTGAAGAGAGCGCGTCGGACTCGAAATTGCACCGAGATAGCACAGCTAAGAAGGAGCTACGGCCATCGAGCGCTGTCTCGTTCTCGAAGTCCGAACATGGGCCAGGTTGGTGGAGTAGTGGACAGTCTTCTCGTGTGATGACGATATTAACCAATTAATACCTCTTTATTTGCTAGAATGTTCCTCATCGAACGAGCAATTAAAGCAATATAAAAGTTGGGTAAGCACGGAAAGATGGAATGAGCTAAAAAAGATCGCTGACAACGCAATGAGGGAACATAAAGTGTTCATGATAAAAGGTGGCGGTTTCCCAGCGGTTAGACGTGCACTTCTTGAACGAGGGTGGATTGAAAAATATGAGTCACATAAGGTATTACCAAACTTACCAGCGGTAAGTCACTGGACAGTAAATTCGTAGATAGACGAACATTTTTTGAAGTAGCTTGAATCTGAATTCGGTTTATTGTACTTGCAAATTTAAAATTTACAGCTCATACGGGGTTTGTATAAATGAATAACATTTTACTAATCGACGGTTTATTTTTCATAATTTCAAGGTACGCCATCCTCCACATGTAGATCCAAAGAAATTGCACGGTAAAGAACTTTCTAAAGTGGAAAGAATGATTCTGTACAAATTCATGGAACACCATTCCGTTGACTTTCTCTGGACAACTAAGAGGGATAAGTACGATTGGCTGCTTAGTAACAAGGATGTAATTATTAGCAGGTAACCTTTCAAATTATACAAAAGATTGTTACATCAACGTGTAGTTCACATCGTAGGGTCATTGTACTCCAGCATATACCGATTCAAACGATTTGTAAGGGGCCGACTACTAAAGGTCGGAAATATGACGATTCTATTTGTATTTAGACAGTTTTTGCATAATAAGCATAGCGTTTTCTTTGAAACAGCTGTTTTATGTATAATTTCAAATACTTAGTAGAAGTTGTAGTAAAGGGACCAACTAAATAATAAGTGTCGTTTAAAATAGAACATTCCATTTTTCTAGACATTGCAAAGACTTGTTTTTTTTTATTAACTTTTAAATCTTCCATTTTGCCAGATTTTGCAGATCCGTTTTCACCACGAAAGAAGGTTTAACTACGTCCCTGACGCAAATGCACTGGCACACGGAGCCAGGAGTAGCATTAACAAAGTTCCCACGTTGCTACAACATCCACAATTCCGATAGCCTTGAGGAATTCATCGACGATTTTAGAATAACTGCCTGCATCAGTGTCCTTAAATGGCTATCAATTGCATTGCAAAATAATGCTGAGGAAAGCCTCGTAACAACGAATGGAAAAGTTCCATTTAGCGCCATAGAATTTGCCATTAGCAGGTTGAACGAATACATAGTGTTCCTTACTCATAAGGATATCGATGACACGGACGACCAACAGCATGTATGGGAACATGAATGGGACCAGTTTCTGACACACCATTATCTCTTAGTTCACGAGAAAGCCAAGTTTATGGAAGACAAAAACGCGAATGTCCGGTACGTTATGCGTAGATATTTAGTTTCAGTAATGAATGCATTTTGTCGTTATTTGTGACTGAGTAAACACTTTTGTGTTCACGTTATAGCTATTAGATCATTGTTTGTCAATTTTACTGTGCAGCTGAAAACAATTCGTCAATGTTTATTATCGTCTGACTCGCGCACAGATTGATTGTCAACAATGACGAGCTGTGTGATCATATCATGTAACCTTTTATGAATGCATTTATGCTTATAACATCACGCATTCATAAAATCCACACATGCCCCGGTTTCCAAAAAGAAACTCGCATCTTCAGACTATATACACCAATTTGCCCCGGTAAAATTCTTATATCAATGTAGATTCTAACACAGGGGCCTTGCTCAGCTGTTGCACATACGATTACCTGAATGATGACGTGAAAGGACAATCATTCTGTTAATAAATAACAGCTATCTCATTTTAATTTTAAGGCAATTAGAAAGAAAAGGCAGTAAAATTCTAGCCACGATGGCAAAGTACTGGCCACAAATAGACATCGACGGTATACTAAACATATGGATCGTGAAACCTGGCAACAAGTGCCGAGGCCGTGGCATTCAGCTCATGAACAACATCAAAGACATAATAGGTCTTATCAACATACCTGCCCAGAAAACTAGATACGTCGTGCAGAAATATATCGGTATTGTTACACTACCTTTGTGAATAGATCTGTAGAGACCGTACACAATGTTCGTACCTACTACATCTTCTTTTTGCCTACAGAAAACCCGCTGGTCATCTACAACACAAAATTCGATATACGCCAATGGTTCCTCATTACGAACTGTCAGCCGTTAACCATTTGGATTTACAAGTAAGAATACATAAATAAGTAAATTTCATCGCTGTCTTTAACGTATTTAAAGCAGTATTTTACTTTTTACAGAGACAGCTACCTCAGATTTAGTTCGCAAATATTTAGTTTATCGAATTACCACGAATCAGTTCATCTCACAAATAATGCCGTACAGACAAAATATAAAAATACTGGCGAGCGAGATAAAGCTCTGCCAGATGAAAATATGTGGGACTGTCATACTTTCAAGGCTTATCTCAGGTAAGAGTTACAAAATCACATTGAATAGGCACTCTCAACTTTATTACTTACAACTTTATTACATATTTGAAGACAGATAGGAAAATATGAATTATGGGAGGAGAAAATTTATCCCGGGATTAAACAGTCCCTGATAGGCGCCATGTTGGCTTCTCAAGAGACCATGGATAAGAGGCAGAATAGCTTCGAACTGTACGGAGCAGACTTCATGCTGACTGAAGATTTCACGCCATGGCTCATTGAGATAAACTCCAGTCCAGACCTGGCACCTACCACATCGGTCACTGCCCGATTATGTCCGCAATGCCTAGAGGATGTTATAAAAGGTAATAACTAGTAACAAACACAAATAAATAATAGGGGTACCTATAGATACTATACGAGTACATTCCGTTTATTTAATTTACAGTGGTCTTAGATAGACGATACAACCTCGATGCGGATACTGGAACATTTGAACTAGCTTATCGACAAGTAATACCTAAAGCACCAGCATATCTGGGTCTATCATTGTGTATCAACGGGAAACGAGTGCTCAAGAAGTGTAAGGAACGTAAACACGAAATAAAGTCTGCCCACACCCCAGTACCACCTCGCGTACCTTCCGGCGACGCTATCTTATCCTCAGATCAAGATCAGCCAGTACCACCTGAATACAGCGGCCCCATCATCACTGACTTTCTCACTTGGTTAAACCCGTACGATGCTCTGCCAACTAATAAAGATGGCATCGTATTAGGCCCTAAAGATTCGCTCACGGTACGCCAAGCTATCACAGTTGTCAAATCTACTATCACGCTAAAGAGCGCACCGAAAAAGCGTAAATCGTCCCTTTCTTTTAGGATTCATCGAGGAAGACGAGAAACAAATACTGAGTGTAAACGACGAATTGTGCCACATTCGTGCTGTCGACCTGAAGACGGTCAATTCACTAATCAGACCAGTAAATACCGGACTGAGTCAGCGAGCAAAGCCGAGAAGACCAAGGTTGACAGGTCGGTCGGAAACAAGCGATGTTATATAGACCCGGTCGAATGGGAGCGGGAGACCGCTAGTATTCTCCGGTCGACAATATCTGTACAAAACAAAGTAGTTAGCAAACCTGAACCGGCCACGTCACTGCGACACGCCAAGTCCAGTGTAGTTAGTTCCAATCGAAAATCTGTGGACACGATCAACCGACGTAACAGCTTGGACGATTCAGATCCAATTAAAAAGCTGAGCGCGATAGGCACAAGTATTTGCAAATTACAGGGTGATAACAGAAACAAAGACAAATCTATATCGCTTTCAAAAAGTTGCACCTCGTTATACGCGCCTTACAGGGTCGTTGTTACACCTCTGCATGAGGAATCTTCAAACTCTTCCTTGAAAAGAAAGAAATAACTGATAAAAAAATTGTGTTCAGAATATTATTCACCTTAAACTTGTTCAATGTTTGATATTAAAAGTTTAGAAAATGTAGTTTAACTATGAAGTGAATTAAAAATTATAAGACTATGAAATGTTACGGCGAATTTTCACATTTGAAATTGTTAAAATAATATTATTTTTCGCTATCGACTGTTGGCATGTTCAAATTCTAATAATGTGTAATATAAAATAAATTATTGAGAATGTTATGGTACTTACGAGTATTAATATGCCTTGCAGATACGATATCCATGGATCCTTTTCCGACCAAATCCCTACTTCCATCCCACGCACTAGATACTGTAAGGTAACAAACTATAATGACATTAATTGACAGAAATGATAATATTTTCATCAACGTCATTGTTCCGTCAATTTTCTTAATAAATTATTAGTAAAATGTGAAAAAAATATAAGAAATAAACTACTACTGCTACTACTTGATGCCAATAATGAAAAAAATACAAAAAAATGCTACCAAGAATTGAAAAGGGAATTTGTTGTTGTTTTTGAATGCTGCGTTGATCTGAAGACGTTTTCTAAACTAATTTCGTTAAGCCCAAGAAATACAAACTTATATAACGTGCTTATTATCGTGAGTAAGTATTTTTTATTTAATAAAAGGTTCGGCATTTAGTGAATTTTACCAAAACCAAACTCATAACAGTAGGTACCTACCTACTTAATTGTAATTACAAAAAGTCATAGGATAGTTAATGTGCTTAGATAGCATGCAGTTTTGTATCAAAAAACTAATCATTCATCAAATAGAAAGACCATTTGATAGTATTTGTGGAATCGCACCAAGCGACCCGAACTACCTACATAATTTATGCAACTATAAGTACCTACTATACTAAGTATAACTTTTAAATTTTACAGTTTTATTTTATATTTTTTAATGAGAACACACCTACCTATTTGCTTTTGTCTAAAAATGAATCCATTTGAAAATGCCGTGCCGAAAGAAGAAAATTCTGAAGAGAAAAAAGGTAATCATACGGAATTTAAGTAAGTATTAAAATAAATTCATTGACATTCCTCTCTAACGATTCTGTATTTATCCACAGAAATTATTAGGATTTGGAACTAAAACCAAAAAAGACTTAAAACTTAAAAATGGACGCAAGCATGGACCGTCCCATGTTTTCAAACACTGTCCTCATAAAGTAAGATGGTCACAATTTTGTTTTTTTTCCATTATACTTATAGCATCTCCAAATAAAAATATGATGTTTCCACTGATTTACAGCGACCAGTCAGTGTTGCCCTATGTAAAGTGAAAAGAAATAAATCTCCATTGAGGTGTGCCGTTCAAACTTTAAAGTTGGAGAGTAAAAATAAAAAGATCATGGATTACAGGAGCATCTATTGCTACGAAGGTTTATCACCAAAAGACAAACATTTTATAATTTGCAATTTGCAAGCCAAATCATCACGCTACAAATCCTTGAAAGGCCAAGCTTTACGAGCTATACGTGAAAATAAAATATTTTCAGTTTACGGCTCTTGTAACGCTATAAGAATGGCATTGCTGGAAAGAGGTTGGGTTGAAAAAATACCAGCCAATAGGATGAATTTGTCCAAAATAAAAAATGGAACGTATAGCACCAAATCCGATATACACAGGGAATTAGAAAGACTACTCTTATCAAATCTAGTTGAAAAGTATCCACCTAATTTTATTTGGCGCACAAGAGACGAACTTCGCAGTAGTGTCATCGATATGACCAAAGAATGTCCAACTATTATTAACAAATTGAAAACGGATGCTCAATGGACATCAAAGCAGGGTTTATGTTCATCGATGAAGAGGAACTACTGGTTCTATATTGAAGACTTGGCCGAGGTTATTGGGCCTCGCAGCTATAACACAAGTGACCCTGGTGAAATAGAAGGATTTGTTAACGATTACAAAATTACCGCTTGTACTAGCTTGTTGAAATGGATTTTGTCAATGGTAGCTAACGAAAGACCAATATTTGTAGAAACTGGAAAGATTTCTTTGAACGTTGTGCTATTCGCCTTGAGTAGATGTAAAGATTATTTGTACAAAAAGGAACACAAAGATATCGATCGACCCATAAGTAATGTCTCTATAGGACAGTGGAATAGTTTTTTGAAAAAATATTATCGTATCATATCAAGAGACGATGTCTTTCAAGCGGATACAGAAAATAAGTTACCGTTATACATGGCGTACGCAAAATTTCTGCTAAAAGAAATGCATAAATATCGACCGCAATTAAGTTGCGAGGGATGTCATAACATCTGGATCATTAAACCAGCTCATAACTCAAGAGGGAGAGGCATCAGAATGGCATCTAGATTAACAGTGATTATTGACTTACTGAATAAAGCTAACGCCAAATATGTCATTCAGAAATATATTGGTACGTATTTTATGTAGGTACTCTGTTAGTGTCATGCTTCTTCTTCATCACAACCAACAATTAGGTGCTCCTATCCTATATAATAACAGCGATAGTTTTAAAGTCAAAATCATTTATTTCAATTAGACCCATACAGGCACTTTTGAACGTCAAACAAAATTTAAAGATATAAAGTGTCAGTCTGTCGGTCAGTCCTCTAGTGAAGCTATTCGCTCGTTCCAAAGTGTAGATTCCGATGGAGAAGAACGAGCAAGAAACTCCATGGTTAATTTTAAATCAGTGTCACATAAAGATTCTTTGATACATTATTTTGTTGGTTTGATTATGTGAGAACAGTGTGACGCGTGTATACAGAGAAACATAAAAAGAAAATAACCTTAAGGACAATAGACAGTCCGGAGCTGACCAGTCCCAATTGACGGCGCCCGTTCACGAACATGACACGTACACCAGCATCGCCCAACTCGACCATAATATAGGGAATCGAACGATCCAGTGACCGTGCCACCGCCAATGTGACCTTTGAGTGAGCATGGCAACTCCAAGCTGACATACGGACCGACATTATGCTAGTCTAACTAATTGTAATAGGTTACAGAGCACTCACATTTACAAAATCAAATTTAACAATAGATTAAATTCGTAACATTTGTAGATTATTAATTTACCGTAAATAGTCTTTAGTAAGATGACGTCATGACAAACAACTAATTATTTCGTTTAATTAATTTACAGAAGAACCGCTATTGATACATGAAACAAAATTCGATATAAGACAGTATTGCTTGGTGACAAGCACATATCCACTTGTAATATGGATGTATAAAGACTGCTATTTGAAGTTTAGTTCGCAAAAATACAATTTGAAAAACTACCACGAGTCTATACATTTGACAAATAATGCAGTTCAGAGGAAATATAAAAACTGTGCAGGAAGACACGAGGAACTTCCTGCCGCTAATATGTGGGATTCTGATATGTACAAAGATTACTTAAACAGACTTGACAAAGGTAAGGTATGGGACAAAGTCATCTATCCCGGAATGAAGAAATCCATTATTGGCATAATGCTAAGCTGCCAAGATTCTTTGTCAGTATGTAAGAATCGATTCGAGCTATACGGTTGCGATTTTATCCTCGACAAGGAATATAAACCGTGGCTTATTGAAATTAATTCAAGTCCAGACCTCAACCACACTACGCCTGTAACCGCAAAGATTTGTCCAGCTGTTCTTTCAGACTTAATAAAAGGTAGGTAATCATTTTATATAACGTTCAACTAAAATAAAACACACACACACACACACACACAGCTAACTTACGACACTAAGGTGTAATCCGCCATATCCATTAGTACCCTATAATTTTTTTATTTGGTAGATCGGCAAACCGGCATCTGAATTAGCTGATAGTAAGTAATCAGCGCAGCTCATGGATACCCGCAATAACATAGGAGTCATAAGTACCTTGCCGACCTTTTGAGGATTAGGGATTTGGATTGGGCCTCCAGTAACCTAACAGCAAAACACAAAATTGTGGTTGTTTCACGCCGTTTTTCTATGAGACCGTGGTATCACTCGGGTCGAGCCGACCCATTCCTGACAGAGCTTGGCTCTCTTAGACTTTGAAACTTTAAAATTAACAGATATGTATAACGTTTCTAAATTTCAGTTGTGATCGACTTTCCTAGAAATTCAAAATCGCCAACAGGAAGATTTGAATGTATTTATCGGCAACCAATGACTATACCTAGATACGGAGGAGCATTGGATCTGTTTGTACGTGGCGTTTCTTTACCACACGATTACTTCTACAAGGGCAATATTGATCTCAGGGAATCTTATGATTGCGATGTAGACATGGACAAAGTAAATAATATCAAAGCCATTTTAGACAAAATAAAAGACAAGTACGACTCAGACACAGTAATGAAAGAGCCTGAAGACGATAGTAACACGACTGCAAAAAAAGAAAAAGAAACCACCACACGCCATTCACGATCTGAAGACGAACTTAACGTAGCAGCGAGTGTAATTACAGGACAGCTGGAAGAGCTTTTGGATAGAATCGTCTCCAATCAAAGTTTCAGTTTAATTAATCTAGGACACCAAATTCGCTCATTGTCAAGCCCTGTTTACATAACCCAACCACAACCCGATAAAAGTATAAATAAAATAATGAAAAAGTCCTTGAGTCTTAAGACACCTGTTAAGCCTATTACCGTGAATAGTGAACGAACATTTCAATTTAGTGAACTCGATGATGGCCCTACTGACAAGGGCAGTTATGTTGGCTTTAGCTCTTCTAAAAAGACTTTCAATGACATTAGTGAACTTGAAGTCGTAAGATTATTAAGTAGATCTAAAAGTAAAGAAAGCACAACATCTACTTCTATATCGACAGAAAATATGATAGAAGCCACAACCAAACTCATTAATTTTATAAATCAAAAACAAAAAGAATATTTTTCAGAAAACAATTTACAAAGGTGAAGCGTTGTCTGCAATAGTAACGGTTCATGAAGACTATAATTCAAATCTTATATCACGTTCAAGTTAATATGTACATAGTTTTAGCAAAACAAGATCAAGCATTGTATTAAATACACTTATTTACTATATTTCTGCATATTATTCAACGTATCTAGCTACTACTTAGAGAACCTACCAATTAAATACCATTATAACTTAAAAAGTTGGTATATCCCTGCTCTTTCGTGAATTGGTGAGCACTCGAAAAACATGGCGCTGGTTTTGACTACCAATGTCAATTAATGTTCTAGACGAAAATTGAGATTTCTGTATTGGTTTCGAGGATAGAGCAGACCCAGATGCATATGCCTAAACCTGCTAGACGTTCACTGAGAGTAATGTATGCAACTGTACTTTCGATTGGTGTACGCCTACGTTACACAAGCAGTTTGTTTTTTTATTATCTGTCTATTATGTACTAGTGTCTCACATAGTTTCATACATTTGTTAAAACTCAGCGAGACGATCACCATGCAAACTTGTGTACAGCTATACAGCTATAAACGATTCGAATCGCGGACTCGAATTCGATTCGAATCGCGGACGTAGTGCTACGTCCGCGATTCGAATCTGGTCCGAACTCGTGAAATTGTCGTTGTTTTAGAACTATATTTTTATTTCACATCATCATCATCAGCCTGTTGTCGTCCAGTGTTGGACATAGGCCTCCCCAATTGCACGCCACTGAGCTCGATGTTCAGCTCTTCTCATCCAACCACTGCCAGCCACCCTGCGGATGTCGTCAGTCCACCTAGCTGGAGGGCGCCCTACACTACGTTTGCCTAGACGTGGTCTCCACTCTAGAACACGTTTACTCCAGCGGTCATCGGTTCTTCGACAGATGTGACCTGCCCACTGCCACTTCAGTTTGCTAATCCTTGGAATAAAACTTCCTTCTAAGCTCAGCTTGGAAGCCCGGGTTTCCTGCTTAGTTGCCGACAACAGCAAAAACTTTGGTGTTCCTCAAGGTTTTGATAAATTGTATACAACAAAAAACTGCAGTCGGTCGTATCAACTCAGTTTCAGAGCACTGCCTCAGTCGGTATTGTAATGCTTGTGTGGAGAATAGCTCCCTCACGCGCGAAGAGACTGCTTCTCATTTCCTTCACTGCGCACAATGGCTTCGAATAAAGCCGATAGCGAGAGGTCACCGCTGACCACTTCCTTGAGGACACGGCGGTGCTCAGTCCAATATCCGGTAAGCATCTGAGTCAGGCGGAAGCTGAGGACGCCACGGCTCTTTAGCCACTTTACAAAAAGAAAAAGAGAGATCTTACCGCTGCTATAACAGCGTGCCTGAGAAGGCAAGGCTAAGTTAGCAACGAAGTTGCTGGGTGTGCTGTGCTCAATAGATCGAGGCAGTATTCCATGTCGCGGGCGCAACGCCTGCTACTTTATGTGGCGCAGATTTGGTCCGATACTGTGCTCATCTTTGTAAGGTCATCCAATAGCGAGATATTTCCAGCCCCATCATATAACAGATGGAAGAGAAAAACTACCTAACACCAAATCTGTTGAATGATCTTAGATCTTTCAGCGGCGCGGCGGTATTTCCGGACTGATAATACCCTCAAATCGCCAAGAAACAGGGGTAGGTACCTTGTTAAAAGACCAGTAACACTTGTGGCTCCTCTGATGTTGTGGGTGGTCTATGGCATAGAGTAAATCTAATGGTACGCTTACACGTTTGGCAAGTCCCGACGAGCGTGGCTTACAAGAGCTTGTCGGCGATCCGGTGAGGTGTCGGTTTTTGAACACAGATCAAAAGAAATTTACATTTTGGCGCCTGTTTGGTATTACTCACGGGCTCGTGCTGTAGGGAACCGATGAGTTTTGTGCTGCGCTGCATACGACCCCGTATCAACAATGACTACTTTATCTAACGATGAAACCATGACCTTTCTCGAGGCATATCAAAGTGAACCGTACATATGGAAACCGGAGGACGCAAACCAAGAAGAAAGTAACGTAGCAGAAATATTAATGACAACCTTTCTTATACACTTTAAAAAGAAGCACGACTCTATTCGTTCTGGTACAGGTAGGCAATTTGTTTTTAATTTATTAGGTACTTTAGTTGCCGTGGATTTACGAGTAAATAGGGATATACAAAATTTATCGTGCTTTCTATTTTCAGGTACCGAAGGTATCTACAAACCCTGTAGGTTCGCATACGAATACATGGAAGCATTTTTAATGCCAGTATATACCTATATATTATAAGTGTACTTTGACTACTGAAACAGTAACAAAAATCGAATTTACAGGAATAAAACTAAAATTTTATTAATATTGATTATTTATTAAGATCCTAATGGTTTATTTAAGTTTAATGTAATTATTCAAGGTACTTAGTTAAATCGGTTATAGTTTCCTAAGTAAGTTTAGATTCTATATGTGCTTCCTAAATACTTGTGTTAAAATATGAAGTAAATTCTTCTCTAATTTGTTGGGCATTCAGAGGTGAACTTCTTGGAATACTTGGCAATGGCAAAAGCCTGGGGGTGTATACCTATGTGAAGAAGTTTTACTTTTTCGCAGTAATATATTTATAGGTCATTGTAATTGTTGATGTAGTTTCTAAATTTAAATTAATAGGTCGTCGAAATATTCGGAATATTGAAGTTCAAACTCCAGACCAACCTGAGCAGCAAATAGCTTCTGCATTTGGACATTTGGACAGTTTACGAATATATTAAGTCGAAGATCTCCATCCGATCCATTTGTCCATCGAACTTTATTTACTCAGTCAGCTTATTCATAGCCATATGTCCCATCATTTCCTATGGATTCGAGCCAAACATTCTTTCTTTTTTTTTTTGTTTTTTTTTTGCAAATAGGCCATAAAACGGCACTTTTACACGTCAATTTATATGTAAAAAACTAGATGAAGCCGGCATTTCCTATCTGACTACTCTGAGAAGAAATACCGAAACAAACTCAGAGATCAGTCTCTTTTCAAGTCCAGACAATGTAAAAATAACATAATGTGAGAGAACCGTGCAAGTTCATTCTGTAGTGGTCTTTTGATGAAAGAACCACACCAGTTTAAGTGGACCCGTTCTGAAGACAGGCACGCAAGTGTCAGTTTGCAACCAGCATAGCAAGTGCTGCTGAGTTGTCCGACGAACAATACCCGTGAACAATAACGATCTAAAGAACATTTGGTTGGGTCACGCAAGTACTCAAACTGTCAGAACGCAGATAACTGGTAGTCCAAAAGCGCGGCAAGTCTCACACGGTCCTTACACTAACAATAATAGAAAATAATAATAATGTCAATAAATAATTATAAAAATAATAAATAAAATAAAAAATGTCAAATAAAAATAAAAATGTCACAATAGGTGATAATGTCATTGTTAAAAAATAATAATAATAAACGTAATGTCAAATTGTATATAAAAAGCGTAACTTATGTTACAAACATGTCAACATGACCTGTGCAGAAGTTACAGCGGCTCATTCCCAAGCCTGACTATCTTCTAAGTAGTCTTTTATTTTATAAAATGCTTTACAGTAAAGTTTAGCCTTTATTACACTTTTAAAATTATTGAGGCTCAAATTTTGAATATCCCTAGGAATTTTATTGTAAAAGCGTATACATTGACATCTAAACGAACTACTTATTTTCTGAAGCCTGGAGGCGGGGACAACATATTTGTTTTTCCCCCTCGTATTAATATTATGTATATCACTATGCTTCTTAAATAAGCTTTTGTTTTTATGAGCGTGAATTATATTTTCATAAATATATTGTGAGGCAACCGTCATTATCTTAGTTTCCTTAAATAATTCTCTGAGCGAATGCCTCGGACTAAGATTATAGATTGATCGAATAGCCCTTTTCTGCAGAACAAAAATAGACTGAATGTCAGCAGCATTCCCCCACAACAAAATACCGTATGACATGATGCTGTGGAAATAACTAAAATAAACTAACCGCGCTGTATCTACATCTGTTAAATTTCTAATTTTTTTAACGGCATATGCTGCAGAACTGAGCTTCTTCGACAAGCCATCTATATGTGGGCCCCACTGGAGCTTAGCGTCCAGGGTTATACCTAAAAAGACAGTTGTATCTACAGGACTCAACTCCTCGCCCTTGACAAGCACACTGGTTTTTACCTGTTTAACATTTGGTGTTGTGAATTTAATACATTTAGTTTTAGTTTCGTTTAGTAATAAGTTATTAACACCAAACCAGTGAACTATTTCTGAAAGAGCACTGTTTACATTGTCAATAACTAATTGTCGACGTCTGAGTTTGAATAATAGTGAGGTATCATCAGCAAACAGCACTATCTCGTGTTTATCCCTTACAAGGTAAGGCAAGTCATTAATATAGATAAAAAATAAAAACGGGCCGAGAATAGAACCCTGCGGAACACCCATCTTCACAACAGACCCGGCAGAAACCATTCCGTTTACTTCGACTCTCTGAACCCTATTACTCAGGTATGAGGTAAGAAGGTCCAGAGATGCACCTCTAATTCCGTAATGGCAAAGCTTCCTGATCAGTGTATCATGAAGCACACAATCGAACGCCTTGGATAAATCACAAAATATTCCCAAAGCGTCGCTTGAGTCCTCCCATGCGTCGTAAATTTGATTAAGAAGTTCAACAGGTAGTACTGAAATAGGTCTAAAGTTAGTAGGGTCAGAAGTACTACCTGATTTAAATAATGGAATTATTTTACTACATTTCATAAGATCAGGAAACACACCACGGTCAATACAGTTATTAAAGATTTGAGCCAATACAGGTGCTACAATAGTTATTACAGAGCTTGTAATGTACACAGAATTACCCCATAGATCTGCAGTCTTTTTGTTATTCAAAGTATTAAAGATTTTAACAATGTCTTTGTTACCTATGTGTTCGAAGGAAAACCCTGAATCGCAAGCTACAACATGTTCTTTGAGTAAAGACTCTGCAACAGTGGGAGATGAATTCAGTG